AGGGTGGGGAACCCTAAACTGGTTCGTCTTAGGGATGTCCGTGACGATGTTAAGACATTGGTGGTGGGGAGTGCCATCAATTCGCAGCCAACTTATGGCACCACCTTTAGGACTTCCAAGGCAGAGACGGGGTTTGTGCTTCCGTGCCTCTGCGTAGCAATCCTGGACTTCCTTGATGGTCTTCCATCCAGATACTAACCGGGACTGTGACCCTACTTAGCTGCTCGAGGTCGGAGCGTCCAGGCCAGCGGGTGGAAAGTACCATCAAGTTGCAGTCAGTTGTAGCTGACACGGCGGGGCTCATAAGGTTTAGAAGACAAGGAAGAGACGCAAGCGGTTTCTCATCTCCTGCCTCTGCATAGCAAACCCTGGACTCCCTTGGTGGTCTCCCATCCAGGGGCCATTTCCTGCAGGAGCGCACAGGAGCGGAGCTCCGGCAGTAAAGAGCCCAGGGGGCGGGCACATGCAACAAGCCCAGCCCCCTGCTCCCAGCAGCCCTCAGTCAGAGCAAGAAGCAGCCAGGTAAGCTGCAGAGCCCCCCCCCCCGGTCCAAAACAGTCCAGTGGCATCTTTAAAACCCAAGTTTTATTCAGGTACAAGCTCTCCCTCCTCTGCGAGGACAGATCTGCACATTCCCCCCCCCCAATAGCTAGCAATCCAAAAGAGTCCAGTGGAGCCTGAGCGGTGGGTGTTGCCTTCTGACACACTTCTGGTGATGTCAGGGTTGTGGCATATGCAAATGAGTTATGTTAATGAGCTCCTGCACCTCTTTTTCTATGAAATGAGCCCTGCTCCCATCCAAATACCAGCCAGGGCTGACCCTGCTTAGCTTCCGAGACCCGGCAGGGCTGGGGTAGCCCGGGGCCATCCAGGTCAGGAATGTTTGTCACATTCCAGTCTGGTGTAGTGGTTAAGGGCGCGGACTCTAAACTGGGAGAACCGGGTTTGATTCCCCACTCCTCCACTTGCACCTGGCTGGATGACCTTGGGCAAGCCATAGTTCTGATAAGAGCTGTTCTTGAAAAAGAGCAGTTTCTGTCAAGAGCTCTCTCAGCTCCACCCACCTCACAGGGTGTCTGTGGTGGGGAGGGGAAGGGAAAGGAGTTCGTAAGCCGCTCTGAGACCCCTTTGGGTAGTGAAGGGCGGGGCATGAATCCAATCTCCTCTTCTTCTTCTTCTACCTCACAGGGTGTCTGTGGTGGGGAGGGGAAGGGAAAGGAGTTCGTAAGCCGCTCTGAGACCCCTTTGGGTAGTGAAGGGCGGGGCATGAATCCAATCTCCTCTTCTTCTTCTTCTACCTCACAGGGTGTCTGTGGTGGGGAGGGGAAGGGAAAGGAGTTCGTAAGCCGCTCTGAGACCCCTTTGGGTAGTGAAGGGCGGGGCATGAATCCAATCTCCTCTTCTTCTTCTTCTACCTCACAGGGTGTCTGTGGTGGGGAGGGGAAGGGAAAGGAGTTCGTAAGCCGCTCTGAGACCCCTTTGGGTAGTGAAGGGCGGGGGATAAATCCAATCTCCTCCTCTTCTTCTACACATGTTCATGTCTCTCATCGGATTTTAAAAACGAGATCTTTTGAGAAGGATGGATCGCTACGATCCTTTCTGCACTTGGATCTCATATCCTTGGTTTTATATCAGGCTTCAACTCGCGACACCATACCTTGCGTTCATCCCTGGTGATAACAGCATCCGTCTATCCCGGGACAATTGTGGGGCAAAACGGGGGTGACCTCACTGTAATGCGGGAACAAAACACCCTGAGGTAATTACAGGGGTGAACTCGAGTGTAGAGTGTACATTCGGGAACAGGGTTGAACCAGGATTTTGGGGTCTAGTGCGGAATCACCCTGTATCATCCTTCCGGAATAATGAAAAAGAATCAAGCCAGCCAACCTTAGAAAAACTCCTGTTAAAGATTTATTGCGGCAATACAATAATTTTTTTTAGAAAACACACACACGCACGCACGTCGGTGTTACAACCCTACTAGTTCTGACAGTGGCACACCACAGCCGAAAAACCTTTGAAAGGGGGCCTTGGGGATTTGGGGTGGATGGAAAGAGAAGTCCCTCCTTTTCAGAGAGTCAAGCCCCTTCGTTTCACACACGCCGCCAGGCACGTTCAAGGATCTCAGCCCTCGAGTGCGCAGTTCGGCCTCCGTGGCTTCGCAATACGATCACTCGAAAGAACATTCAACCGCAATCTCCACTAACAGGAAGGGTCCCCCTCCCTCCCCCAACACGCTGAACAGATCCACTCATCTCAATTGCACTGAAGTTTTGGACACAAGCTCCCAGGTTTTCCCAGATATATACACAATAAAAACCCCTTCTTAAAAAAACACAAATAAGTAAAACTATCGTTACAAAAGAAAAACAACTCGAAAGGGGGGGGTCGTCGGCACCCCAAATTATTACAACTCTCGGGGTGTCTCTGTAGGCTTTGAACGGATGCTACAGTATTGCAGAGGCGTCGTCTGGGGGGGGGGAATAAATCAGGAAAACCCAACAGTGACGAGGTTCGTGGCTTAGCCGAGATTTGCCCCGACTCTTCGGGGCGAACTGGAAACGGGTTTCTTGCACGTGTGTCGAGGGTGGTTTTAAGAGACATAAATAAACAGCGATGGGGAAGACACAAAGAAGGGGAGGGGAAGGGGGAAAGACACAAGAATATTTATAAAGGAGAGGCCCTGGGCGTGTCTTTGTGGGGAGCTCAAAAAGTCAGCGAGAAGGAACGACCCTTCCCCCCCCCCAGCAGCCGTTGAGCCCTGGGTTCAAATCGCCCATCTCACATGCAACTTATAAAGTGCCTTTCGCCAAAGAACCATTCCCCACGTTACATTTGGAAGCCTGGGAGAGATTTAAGAGAGAACTCCGTGCTTTGGGGGCAAGACCCGATTTCCACCCAATCCTGGTTTCTCCCAGCCCTTCGTGAACCGGATGGGACCACAACAGGAGCCTGCCCAGGGGCAGACAGGATCTCTCCGCCGGGGCTGCTCTGAAGGAGAGACCACCGGCTGAAAAACCACCCCTGATAGGTTTTCAATCAAAACACAGAATGAGAAAGATCTTTGGTATAAAGCAACAGAAGCGCGCAGAAGGGAACCCTCGCCCCAACTCCCAACAGAAGAAAAATACAGAAATTGCACTCCTCCTCATGTAAGCGCTTCCATCCACCTACCTAGTTGGGGGAACAATGAACAGAAATGAGAAGAAATCAATCCGGGCTCCGAAAGAGCCAATCCCCAACGTTTAGCGACGGCACGAGGGTACGGTCCCCTCCCAGGGAAGGACGCGCCTTTTTCTTTGCCTGTGATCCCCACCCCCCACCCCGTGGCAAAAGCACTCTGCATAGGCAACACAGAGGGTAGTAATATTTTTGACACGGGGCTTTGGGGCGTCGTTGGGGCCGTCGCATGCCTTGCAGGAAGCCGGGATCTGCCCCCGCAGCAGGCAGAGAAGCATCTCAAGAGCGCCCTCTGGTGTGGAGTCCCGGGCAGGGGTGAAGGAAGGAGGGGAGAGAGAGCCGTGTTGGTGTCTGGCTCCCCCCCATCTGCAGGCGCACAACTAACGGTTTACGCCGACACCACGCTCCATCGAAGAAAGGGAAGGGCAGGCATCGGCCACACTGGCGGGAGGGTACAAACGGTCGGTCCCCTTCCTTGGACCGGAACGCAAAGCTGTTGTTCTTTGGGATCCGCGGAGAGGGAGGATTCTCTGCTTGGATGCGAGCCGGTGACCAGCTCCAGTGCGGCCCATGCTTTCAGCAAGTGGCGACGGAGAGGATACCTGCCGCAATCCTCCTTCCCCCCCAAAACCCCCTAAGATGGGCCACGTTCCATTCATCCATGCACACATGCCTACATCTGAACCATGTGGTCCGTCCCTCTCCTCCTTGTTTGATGGGAACGCCTGGTACCAGGCATATGGACTTCGACAGGCCACGCCAGTTCAACAGACACTGGACACGTGGTGGAGGTGGATGGAAGTGCGCCTCCTTCACCGTCGGGGACCAGCTCACCTTTGGGGAGGGCGTGAACCAAACCATTTGGCAAACACACAAGCCAGAGCTTGAATCTGATGAAGAGGAGTGGGCAAAGAGAAACCGTCCCGTCATTCAAAGGCAAAGCCGGCCCCCGCAACACCACTGTAAATGTGCCACTCGTTTGGAAAACAAAGACGGCAGGCCGATGAACCAGTGGGGGGCGGCGCAGCAGGCAGGAAGCTGCCCGGCCGTGCTTCGAGGGGACAGGTTCCCTCGAGGTTCTGTCCGAAGGTTCAAAATGGGTCCCCGCGACTGTCACCGTGATACAGCTATCCCGCACGACAACGACGAACCGCAAAAGAATGGCCGCTCCTTTCCGTGCAAGGTGCCGCGTTGCGAGCGGTGGGACTGCTCGGGAGGAGCCGGATCCTGCGTTGCAGGCTCTTTGGTGTCCGAGAGCACGTGCAAGACGTCTGGGATTCTGGGCAGCTCGATGCAAAAGGCGGTTAAACAAACCCGCTATTAACTATGGCGCTCGCACCCCCCAAAAGATCCAGCAGTACCTACCGCTCTTTTTTTCTCCCCAAAAGGGGGGGGGGGATCTTATTGGTTTTCAAGAAGCATGATTCTTTTCTGTATTAAAAATTATGGCAAATGCAGATTAGAAATCACATTAAAAACAGGAGATTTGCACGCTCCTCGCCCACCTGCCGATGCTGGAAATGAGCCTTTGTGCTGTGAAACTCGTGTGCATTGAAAGAGCGAGCGAGCGAGAGAGACTTTAGAAACAAAGAACCCCCCCAAAAAACCCAGTCAGGGACTGATCAAATGGGAACCGGCTACAGTATGCAAACGGGACTGTCCAGCCCTGTTCTCTCATGGATCTCTCTCTGTCCTTCTACTTCTGTTGACTGCCAGGTCACTCATACCCCCTCGAGCCTGCTTCTTTCTTTAGAAAGCATAAACTAAAATAATAATAATAAAAATAAAAACAAGATCACAGACAGGATTCTCCTCGGCAAGACAGACGAACACCCCGAGGTGCTGAGTTCTGTTCCCGGCCTCCGAAACACACTGTCGGGAGAGGCTTCCGAAATGTTTGCCGACAGTCGGCTCGGGCGAACGGAAAGCGTCCCTCGGGTTTACGCTGTCCGAAAGTTTGACCCCCCCCCCCTTTTTTTTGTTCCAGGCACTACTTAAAACCGAACAGGTCATGTTTTACTACAGTGACGGCGGTGGGCGGTGGGGAACGACCCCCCCCCCCGAGGTCGGACCCTTTCCTAGCGGTGTCCGGTGTACGCCTTGAACCACGAGGTCACGGAGGCCGCCGCTGAGGAGATCATGCCGCCAGCGCTGCTGCTGGCGACCGGCTGCGAGGCCTGCGTGCTCTGGCTCTGGAGCATCTCCACGGGCTGGGAGGGGATGTCGCAGAAGCGGGGGCTGGGCAGGTTCTCCCAGTCCGTCCCCAGGTCCGTCTCCTCGTCGCTGACATGCTCGTCGCCGCTCTCGTCCGTTTCGCCGGCGCCACTGGGGTCGACGAACTCCATAGAGTCCTCCAGGTCGGCGCTGATCTCGAACGGCCCGGACCTACGAGTGGAAAGACGGGACTGAATCAGACCCCTCTGTGTACGAACCAAAAAGGGCTAAGCTAAACCATATATATGGTAACAGCGATTTTGTAGGTCTGAATGTGTGTCACTCCATCAAGGTGAACACCTTAATAAAGATTTGTACTTTTATATATATGGTTTAGCTTAGCCCTTTTTGGTTCGTAGTCATATCCACATTCCAGTCACCACTGACTCATGGGGACCCCCGTAGGGTTTTCAAGGCAAGAAATGAGCAGAGGTCGTTTTGCCATCGCCTGCCTCTGCATAGCAACCCTGGACTTCCTCGGTGGTCTCCCATCCAAGTACTAACGAGGGCTGAGCCTGCTTAGCTTCCAAAACACGACAACATCAGCCTAGTTTGGGGAAACAAGAGGTGGCTTGCCCATTTCCTGCCTCTGCGTAGCAACCCTGGACTTCCTTGGTGGTCTCCCATCCAAGTACTAGCCAGGGCAGACCCTGCTTAGCTACCAGAACACGACAACATCAGCCTAGTCTGGGGAAACAAGAGGTGGTTTTGCCATCGCCTGCCTCTGCGTAGCAACCCTGGACTTCCTCGGTGGTCTCCCATCCAAGTACTAACGAGGGCTGAGCCTGCTTAGCTACCAGAACACGACAACATCAGCCTAGTCTGGGGAAACAAGAGGTGCCTTGCCCATTTCTTGCCTCTGCGTAGCAACCCTGGACTTCCTCGGCGGTCTCCCATCCAGGTACTCACCAGGGCAGACCCTGCTTAGCTACCAGAACACGACAACATCAGCCTAGTCTGGGGAAACAAGAGGTGGTTATGCCATCGCCTGCCTCTGCGTAGCAACCTTGGACTTCCTCGGTGGTCTCCCATCCAAGTACTCGCCAGGGCAGACCCTGCTTAGCTACCAGAACACGACAACATCAGCCTAGTCTGGGGAAACAAGAGGTGGTTTTGCCATCGCCTGCCTCTGCGTAGCAACCCTGGACTTCCTTGGCGGTCTCCCATCCAAGTACTCACCAGGGCTGAGCCTGCTTAGCTACCAGAACACGACAACATCAGCCTAGTCTGGGGAAACAAGAGGCGGCTTGCCCATTTCCTGCCTCTGCGTAGCAACCTTGGACTTCCTCGGTGGTCTCCCATCCAAGTACTCACCAGGGCAGACCCTGCTTAGCTACCAGAACATGACAACATCAGGCTACTCTGGGAAAACAATATTTATTTATTTATTTGATTCATACCTTCCCCTCCCCGCCGAAGCAGGCTCAGGGCAGCTTACATAACGCAAGAGGGGGTTTTGCCCTTGACTGCCTCTGCGTAGCAACCCTGGACTTCCTTGGTGGACTCCCATCCGAGTACTCACCAGAGCTGGCCCTGCTCAGCTTCCGAAACGTGACAATATTAGGCTAGTCTGGGGAAACAAGAGGTCCTTTTGCCTCTGCGTAGCAACCCTGGACTCTTTGGTGGTCCCCCATCCAAGTACTAACCAGGGCCGGCCCTGCTTAGCTTCCGAGATCTGACCAGATCCAGCTAACCTGGGCCATCCAGGACAGGGCAACAGAGAGAAACAGGGGTGGTTTTGCCATCGCCTGCCTCTGCGTAGCAACCCTGGACTTCCTTGGCGG